CTTTGCTTTAGTGGTTTTCCTAATGTGGTAGAAGGTTATAGTGATGCTAATTGGATAACAGATAACTTGGATGTTAAGTCTACCACTGGGTATATATTTATGTTAGGTGGAGCAGCAATATCATGGGGTTTTAAAAAACAAACCGTTATCTCTAGAAGTACAACAGAATCAGAATGAATGAAGTTCAATGGGTAGGAACAATCCTTATAGTGTGACTCGTATTCCAGCACTTTAAAGGAGACTTTAATAAACTTATTATTTATATTCTCCTGCTCATCCCTAAGATATTAGTGCTGATGTAAATGTGATGGTTAAGGAAGAGTTTTTACTCTAAATGAATCCGAGGTGGGCAAACTCTCGCAAGATAGACATCCGTCACTTCTATCTTTGGAGGATTCACCTAAGTGAGAGCGTTGTGAAGCCGCAACCGTGGAAATAGGGCTATTTCCTAAAACTCTCATGAGAATCAAGATTGAGCACATGGCTGCTAATAGTGCTAACCCGCGCCACAGTTATGTATCATACCATATGTGTGACATGTTGAATTCTGGTAAAAGGATTTAGTTCAAGACCTAGTTCACTAAGATTCTTTCAGAATGAAACTGTTAACACTAAGTGAGGTTCAAGTTTGAAAAACACCTACACCCATTGTATGGTTTTAAAGTTGCCCATATTATTTTTATTTATTTATATATTTGACTGTTTTACAAAGTTTTGAATCTTGTGGAGGATTGTTGGAGATTTCCTAAAAGCTTCAAAACTTTAATTATTTTTATTTATTATTATATTTTATTATTTATTTATTTATTTCCTTTTATAGTCTTATTTATTTGAATTTTAAATTTGTTTTTGGTTTTAAATCAAAAGGTGTGTCTGTTCCAAACAAATTCCAAAGAGCCTATTTAAATAGGACTCTTACTCAGGAAAGAATAACGTACTCTGTTTTCTCTCTCTCCTTCTTCTCTTTACAGTAATTTATATTTCATATTTCTGGGCAATTGATACATTCTTGGCAAATTCTTCTGGTGCAACTGTGCATTGTATCAGATCCTGTAAAGTTTTTGAGTTGTATCTTGGAGTCGTTTATGATCGTTAGAACCTGCACGGAGGGAGCGCATAACGACTTTAGGACAGCGTCTTTGACGTGCCTCTCACAATCACACAGGCTTTTTTTTGAACCCTTTCATCTTTTACTTATTCTGTTATATATATGTATATATAGTTTTGTTGAATTGTAAAACCTAGTTTTTCAGAATCTGTTTTGCATTTAATTTTATTCTATAAAATTGATTTAAGATAAATATTATTCAATTCCCACAACAGTTTTCAACACGGTGCACTCCTCCTTACGGACTGCAATTGAACGTGCGTTTGGAGTATGGAAAGCGCAATGAGAATTCCTACATAACATGCCGCGATATGATTTTGGGAAAGTGCAGGTGCCATTGGTCGGGGCTTCAATGGCATTACATAATTTTATACGCCGCAACTCCAACGACGATGAAGTGTTCAACAGGGTTACGAATGCAGAGAATTTTACTTTTAACGACATGCTAAATGTTGCGGGTGTTGGTGACAACGATGATGGTGAACCAGAGGGCGATGATGACGTACATATGAACGAAGTGAGGAAATCGATACAGAATGAATTAGTGCGACATCAACGTGAACTTGGGTTCTAATCCTGTTCGGTCTGTACGAGTTGATGGCATATGAAATGAATGTGTCAAACTGTTGAAAGTGTTAAAAAAAATGTACGATTATGTTTGTAAATTGCAGGTTGTGAAGGGCATTTAGCAGCTTCTAATGTGGAAATGAATTAATGTAAGAGCGTAATTTCTTGGTAAAAAATAATAAATTTAATATGCCATTGGATAATTTAATAATTTTACTATGATGTGTAGTGTAACATGGAATAATAAAAAAAGATTCATAATTAAATAATTTGCACTGCATAACATTGAAAAATTGTAATATTACATTAAAAAAAGTGTTCAAATACACAAGGGCAAAATGGTAAATTTTATAAATTGGCTAAGGGTATTTTGGTCATTTTAAAGTGATTTAACACTCTAAAAAAATATTAAACCAAAAAGTCAGCTTTTTACTAACTTTCCAAATCACTTTTCAAAAAAGTCAAAAAACTTGATAAAAAGTTAAAAATCAACTTTTTACCAATTTTCCAAAATACTCCTGAATACTCATCATCACAATCGACTAGTCAAAGATCTCTTTTGATCACTATTGCAATGATTTGTTCTGTCACACCATCTTATTCACAATCACTTTTAATTACCACCACCACTATACCATCTTATTCACAATCACTTTTAATTACCACCACCACTATAAATACCCAAAAAAATAATGTTTAATTTAACATAATTTTTTTAAAAAATAAAAAATACTCGTTATTGATAAATAAGAATTTAAAACCCTTGAATTTGGTTAAACAAATTCTAACATTGTATTTAGTTAAAGAATTTAGAAAAAGATTTCAAAATAAAAAAGAAAAAAGTATTTAAAATTATGTGAAATATAAGAATATTTTATTCACATGATATATATATATATATATTTCCTTTCAAATTTCTTATTACATTTTCCAACCAAACACAGTTTGAAATGAAAGTAAAAATGAAAGAGAGACAGGGACACTATTCTTCCAAAGGCACTGGGGTGGTGTTGGACCGTCCAAGGCCCATAATTGATCATAGGTCCATGTTGATTTTTTAATGGACCATGATTTTATTGGGCCTATAGTAGCTCATTACAATTTATTCTAAGCAAATGGGACCAACTCAATCAATCTATGCGTGACGATCCAATGGGACCAAAACCAATAGCTACCAAAAATAATAATAAATAAATAAAGATCAAATTGCTATGTAAAAGACGGTTTAAAATCTACAAATCCTGGTATGCTACGGTTTAAAGCATGAGAGGCGGCTCCAATTACAAATAACCTTCACGAAAGTTTAAATGAGTTAAGTTGGCCTACTCAAATAAATAGATTGGTAGAAAACAATTTTTATAATTAAACAAATAGATCGGTTAGGAGATAGTCAACTAATTGAATAAAAAGAAAAGTACTAAAGTAGAACTGTTCAATGTCTAGTAATGTCGAATGGATAGTCAAGTGTCATTTAAGGAAGACATCTTCAACATTATAAATAGAGATAAACAACATAATAAGTATATCATAACCAATCATCTATTTTCTACTTTAGAATATCTTAATCAAGTACTGACTTGTTTGTTGGAGTGCTCTCCCAACCAACACCCAAGCCGAGAAGTTTCTAACAATTCTATTCGTTTTGCAAGCCTAAAAAAAGCAAAACGCTTACCTTACTGTCATCTAGTGTCCACAATTGCTATGCTAGAGAATTTTAAAAAAATAAAAAATAAAAAAATGAGGGAAATTCAAAATTCAAAATTTTAATGCGTAACGTACAACCAACGGAGTTGACTAAGGACAGAGTATTGATGTTCTAACTAATGCACAATTTGATCTACATCATTCCTTCTGCTTGGGGAAGGTTAGAATATGAATTTCTAATGACAAAAAAAAAGGAAAAAATGTATTTCTTTCTTTGGCACCCATCGAATCACATACTTTTACAACAACAACAAAAAAAAACTCAGATTTTGAATTTGACAATAAAATAAAATTTAAATTTTAATATGTTAATTTGTTTTCAATCTAAATAATCTGTCTATTTTCATTGAGTATAATTGATGAAAAAATTATATTTTGGTCATTAAACTCAATGATCAAAATATTATTTTTTCGTCATTTTAGTTAACGAAAATAAGTAAATATTTAAATTAAGAATAATTAAAAATATTAAAATTTAAATTGATAAAATTAAAAATTAAAAATTTATTTTGTTAAAGGGTCAAATTCTATAATTTTTCTTATTTTATTGTTGTCATTTTTTACAAATTTTTGTCTATGGACAAGAAGCGTGCAATCAAATAGTTGGTCCTAACCAATTTTTTAAGACAGAGAATTAATAATTGGTCTAACCCAACCGATTGGGATTGCTTATTGACATTTCATCCGTCAAGACAAAGAACCATAATAAAAACAGTACCTACCAGCTATCTCTCTCTCTCTGTCTCTCTCTCTCTCTCATTATATAATAATACAAGTGTAAGTTATAAATACATCCTTGAAAGTTTATTTAAATAACAAATTACTCTATGTAGTTTTAAAAATAACATTATGTCCCCTAAAGTTTATAATTTCATAACAAATATGTCATTTTATTAATAAATCATAAAGTTAATTAACAGTTTTTAATAATGTTAAAATTTTATTTCAATTAATAATTCAGATAATTTTATTATTGTGTAGGTGAATAGTTAGAAATTTCACTTCTTCAATTAATTCTGTTAAATAAAAAATTCTGACAGGGTGATATTTATAATTTTCCAAACCACAGGGGCAATTTATATTTTAAGCAAACCTCAGGGGGTGTATTTGTAATTTACCCATAATATAATATGATAATATTTGATTATATCATCAATTAATAACAAAAAATTTAAGATAAATTACAATAATCATCCTTACAAATAATTTAACAATCATTACAAATTTAATATAATTACATTAAAATTTTCATTTTAGTAAGACTATAACAAACAAAATTCATGAAATAATATGCAAATACATAAATAATCAATGGTAAATGTATATATGTATATATATATTTCAATATAAAATATATGATAAATTATTTTTATGTATACGACTAACAAATTACTAATTAAAAGAGAGTAAGCGTTATGTAAATTAAAATTATAAGAGAGCATAGCGTAATTATGTCAGTTTGATGGGGCTTTATGTGTTTTCTTTCGAACCTCAACATTGATTTGCGATTTGTCCAAAAAATTATATTGAAATAGTGGGAATCATATTATTAAATTAATGGGAAATAAGATATAATTTTTATATATATTTTTATTAATTGATGATACACAACATGAAATAATGTCAATGAGTACCATTGGAAAACTTATTTTACTTGTGTTGAACAAACTCTATCTTTGAAAAATCAATCATTCGTTGTTCTCTTTGCTTATGAGTAAAGATTTTTATTTGTTAGATAGTCTGTGCCATCTTAGCAATCATAGTACCAACCTCACCTTTCTTTCCTATTCATTGATTTCCTTCAGACTCCCCAAACTTTTTTTTTTTATTTTATTTTTTTTATTCATCAAACACACCCTTTCTCATATGGAATGAGAAATTTCACAATTTCAAACATACTCTCCTAAACCAATTCACTCACTTTTGATATTCTAGATTGTTTACATGTTTAAGGATGGTTTTGATGTTGGTTTTGTTGTAAATTCCATTTGAATTCAGCTATGTCGACGCGACCTTTTTCATGGTTTTCCGGCTATTGTTTTTGGCTTCTGGCTATTCCTGCAACTATAATACTATTGGGAGCCTTGTCAAGATCACAATACTTTGAATATGGGTATAATTTAACTATCCCAACTGCTTTTTTGCTTCCGATTTCGATGAGAGTCCCTTCAAAAGGCCCGGACGACCCTCCTGTCCTCGCTTATTTGATTTCTGGGTCTCATGGAGATGGAAAGAAGATACTGAGGCTGCTAAAGGCAATATATCACCCAAGAAATCAATACCTTTTGGAACTTGATGCGGGTTCGGGGGATAGAGAAAGGACGGAATTGGCTATTTGGGTTCAATCTGAGAGAGTGTTTGGGTCATTTGGGAATGTTAATGTTGTTGGAAAGAGTCATGCTTTGAACAGGATGGGCGCGTCATCTCTTGCTGCTGTGCTTCATGCTGCTGCATTGCTTCTCAAGATTAGTGCAGATTGGGACTGGTTTATCACCTTGAGCGCTTCGGACTATCCACTTGTGAGTCAGGATGGTAAAAATTCTATCTTATCAATTTTTCTAAATTGCATTAATCAATTCAATTTAGCCTCTTTTTGATTCAGATGCTCAATCAATTACATTTTTATCTAAAAAAATGCATACAGAGTTCAAGTCGTCTTAGTCTTGCCTTGGGAGTCTTTCCGCGTGTTTGTTTGACTCAGTTTTTTGGGTGAATAGTGTTTGACTCGGTCGAGGCATAATATTATTTGTTGGAGATAGCAGTCTTCTCCCGTTTCTCGACACCAAAATAAGACCAAACTCATGAGTTTATTGTCCCAAGTTGGAACAAGTTGATAGGATTTCTTTCTTTTTGTACGTCCCCATGCCTCCCCGTGCGCGATGACATGGAGGCCCAAAAAACAAAAAAAAAAAAAAGGAAAGAGAAGAGAATGGGGTCTCTCTTTTGGCATAGTTCCCTTGATGGGAGACTTGGACGACGAGCTTGGTTGGTGCATCGTTCCCCTCTTTTTTTTTTTCTTTTTTCTTTATGTGACTTATTTAAACTATTTTCTACTCCTTAGTAATAAACAGAAGCTGGATCAAACTTTCCTGTACAGATTAAAAAAAAATAAAAAGTATAAGCAATCTTATAAATTGCACTAAGAATAATGCTTGGGACCCCCTTTTGGGGGTCACCCCTTTGCCACGTGGCGGGTGGTGATTGGATGAGCAGGAAAAAAAAGAAAAAGAAAAAAAAAATGTAACCAATGAGAGAGAGAGGGGGTCAAACGGGGTGGGGGGAAAAGGGGGATGAATCATTGTTGAACTATTTTTTACTCATTAGTAATAAACAGAAGCTGGATCAAACTTTCCTGTACAGATTAAAAAAAAATAAAAAGTATAAGCAATCTTATAAATTGCACTAAATAGGACCATTAATTCAGCAGTAGAGCGTGTCCCTTGTAATTGTGTGGTTAAAAACAAAAGTTAGCTCATGAATTGTTCTGCTGTGCATGAATTTCTCTTTAATTCACAGAGAGTGATGAAATATGTTCCAAGATTTAAATTTGGTTCTTTTTTATTATTATTATTTTTTTTTTTTAAATCCATATTCTTGCAATCTAACAGAGCATCAATTAAATGGTGTCATTGTTTCGCTGCTGACATTGACAATGCTTGGAACAACTTTAATTTGTATATGCAGATGTCCTCCATGCTTTCAGTCTTCTGCCAAAGGATGCCAATTTTATCCATTACACCAGCAACATTGGTTGGAATGAGTAAGAACAACCAATCTCTTCTTGTTTTAATTTAATCCTTTGAATGAGAAAAGTTTTGTTTTTGAAGCTGGAAAATTGATTTTGGAGCAGGAGGGAAACGAGCAATCGGATCATTGTAGACCCAAGTCTATATAATAGAAAGAGCAGTCCAGTTTTCTATGCTGTTGAAACCAGAACTACCCCTGATGCCTTCAAGATTTTTGGAGGTCAGTTTCCTTGTGGCTCTGTTTGATTAGAAAGAAAATATAATGAAATGAATGAAAAGAAAATATGGCTCTGTTTGGTTTAAGTTTCAAAGAATAATTTCACCCTTATATTTGAATGTTATGTTTGATTTAAGTTTTCAAATTTTGATTTTAAGGTTACATTTGAATACACATTCTAATGCATGTTAGCCAGAATAGAGTTTTTGAATTTTGAATTTGTGGATTGGGTTTATCCGGTCATCTGGAACACTGTTTTTTTATTTTTATTTTTTTGTTTTTTGCAATTGCAACCTATTATTTGAAAACAAAAAATTTATAATTATTTTGATATTTTTTAAATATAGAAATTATTTTTTTAGACCGTTTTTAAACAAAACAATTAAAAAAAAGTTAACCAAATACACAATCAAAAGTAATTTTAAAGCACTAGTTGAATTTTTTTTAACAAAAAATAATATATATTTTTAAATAAAAAAATATTTTAGATTCTTTTTAATTTTTTAAATAAAAAAATTATTTTTTCAATAATTATTTTTTTCAATTAAATTTAAAAAAAGTTTGGTTATAAACTTTGAATAGAATTTTAAATAGAGTTGTGAGTTGTGTGTTTGGTTATGAGTTATAAGTTTTTCAAAACTCATAACCAAACAATTTTTCTCATTTCAAAAATTTAAAACTCAATTCAAAATTCAATTCAAAATTTTTTTCAAAACTCATAACCAAACAAATTTTCTCTTTTCAAATCATAATTCAATAACTCACAAACTTAAAATACAACTCCATTATCAAATCACGATTCTAAAATTAAACCAAACGCTACCTATATTTTCTTACTAGCCTTTGATTAAGATGAAAATTTTAAAAGAAAAAAATAGAGAAATTTGAAATTTTAGATGACACATTCAAATTTTCTTGTATTTTCTTGCATTTTTTTGCAAGAAATAAGAAAGTTATAATGCCAATATGGCTTGTACAATGAAATTTTCTTTTACTTTCTATTACTTTCATATTAAACAAACTCATAAAAATTCATTTCCAACTCTAATGCCATAAAATTTGTTATTTGTCTATTGTAAAGCTAATTAGATGAGCAAAAAAGTCCTCTTTTTTTTTAATTTGAATAACTTAGCTAAACACTCACCATTTCGATATGAGAGGTGAAGAAAATAAGGAAAATTATGGGTGTTTGGTTAATGACTGTTTGGTTGTGTGATTTATGTCATACAAATTGAAAATTTACTTTTTTCCCCATTAAATTATGTTTCTATCATTACTGATTTGAACGGGTTGTTTTGAATGAGACCATATCAACTGAAATCAAATTTATAGAGCAATAATAGACAATCATTCTTTTTGTTTTTGCTAAGTAGGTTCACCTTGGATGATCCTAAGCAGAGCTTTCTTGGAATATTGTGTACAAGGATGGGACAATCTTCCAAGAAAATTACTAATGTACTTCACCAATGTCCTCTTTCCTCTTCATTCATACTTCCACACGGTTCTCTGTAACTCCCCTGAGTTTCAAAATACCACAGTGGACAATGATTTGAGTTACATTATTTCAGATCATACCACTAAACTCCCAGAATTCAACATTTCAAACTACGATAAAATGGTGTCGAGTGAAGCAATTTTCGCGAGGCCTTTTAAAGAAGACGATCCGGTGCTAGGGGAGCTCGATAAGAATGTCCTCAACAGACCACCGAATGGGGTGGTGCCCGGAAAATGGTGTTGGAATCGAGCAACGAATGCTAGTTTAGAGAGCCCAATGACTCGGAATTGTTCAAGTTGGGGTGACATCAATTCTATTAAACCAGGTTCCTATGGGTTGAAGCTTGGAATTTTATTTTCTAAGCTTGGTGCAAAAAGGAAACTAAATTGTGAAAAACTGTAAAATTTATCAGAGGATGTTTTTGTATAAAATTTTAGCCAAATAATCCCTTGATCAATTTAGTCTGCAATTTTTTTATTTTGTGTGAGGTTTTTTCTCATCATATTTTTTTGTTCGTGCGAGTCATGTTTCTTCTATTAATCAGCTAACCATATTCAACATTTGATATCATCAACCGCTCTATATGAGCAAATTTTGGTTTTAAAAAAAAATATAAATGTACTATTAGGTATTTCTTTTTCAATTATGTGCAATTAATTTTTAAATTATTGCTTAAAGGGTGTGTATGATAAATTAAACTTGTGTTTAATTTGTACAAGCTTTTTCGAGCCAAAATAAGAGTTAAAAGCCTTTGATTAAAGAAAAGTTGCACAAACGGACCATCTACCAAGTGCCTCGGGGGAATCTAAGCCCTCGTTTGACAACATGGTTGGGATAATTTTAACTCATTAAAAGACAAAATAGACTAAAAATTTAATAAGACAAAATATTTTTTTTTTTATCAACAAAGAAAAAAGGGACTTTATTGATGAGATAAACAAATACAAGCATCAATATACATCAATAAGGAGGGTAGTGCAAAAATATCATAACTAACACTCCCCAATCCCAACTAGGTTAACACCAAAGAAGAAGCACAATCATCTGCTAGCACTAAATCCACAAATTGGCAAGAAACCAATCTAAAACAGAGAAACAAAACGACAACAGAAAAAACTACCCAACCACACACCAATCCAAATCTACCAACTCCTTCCCCAACAAACTCTTCCAACAACTTATAACCAAAACCTAGCAAAGAAAAATGAGGCTTTATTTAAACCATAATCATTTCATTTATTTTTTACAAAATTACAAAAAAATTAAAAATTCATCCAAACGAAACCTTTTTAGTCAAGTCAAAATAATTAAAAAATAAAAAAAAAGGCTAAAAAAGTTATTTCCAAATGTTTTTTTAGTAAGTTTCATTAACTGTATGCCAATGAAATTGAATGGCGAGTAAATAGCATTGAAGGTAGATTTTGTGAGAAAAGTAAGTTATAATGAAAATTTCTAATAAGGAAATCGTCAATTATCTTTCACTGAAATAAATATGCACATTGACTAGTAAACCTTATTTTCCTAATATATGTAAACATCGGTCTTTTTGATTAATATATTTTGTAATAAAAATAGAAATTCTTATAATTATTTTGGTATCCTCATTTAAATATTATTTCTGCTCACGTCACTTGTCACGACCTGCTCCCCGTACCCAAGGGTTAAGTATCGTGATGGCCAATAACTGAAGTTACCTCCGGCCAATTTTTGAACAAATTAATAAACGCGAGCGAAAATAATATTTAAATGAGGGTACCAAAATAATTATTGAAACTTCTATTTTTATTACAAAATTTGTTGACCAAAAGGCCGATATTTACATATAAAAGTATCATACAAGTGTTGTGTGTGTCTATTCCGCAGCCCCGCATCTAAGACTTCCCAAAAGCTATTTCTAAATTGTATTGTTTCCTGAAAATTGGTAAACAGCTATAAGCATATGGCAGAGTGAGAAATATTATGCCAAGAGTATAAAGAACACAAAATAACCATGAATAGTTATGTAACTAAAATATTTAAGATAACTTAGTCTGAACAAATAATCATTTAAGTAGAAAAATTGAGATTATATAAATAAATAACTATAACCACGGACCGAACAGAACTGAACAGAAATCACAGGGCTGACAGTCAGAACAGATATACGGATTCAATAGGTGGCTCGAACGGATTATAGAGGTGGCTCCCACAATAGTGTAGCACTTATCTCCACAGCACTTTGCTCCGTACAGAACAGAGGTCAATGGATCCATGACAATAGAGGGTCACAAAGTGACCAAACAGAGGCCAATGGTTATTTAAGTCTCCTAAGGCGTGGGACTCCCGTGGTGATACTTGCAAAACATGATTGTTTATAAGATTATAGTCAAATATTCTTTAAAATATAAACAAACAAATCCATGGGTTTCATTTTAAACAAATAGAGTTTAGAAATTAACTCACGTAACTAAAATATTTATAAAACATAACTTATATTAATATAATTTATAAAACATAAACTTGTATAAAATAATTTATGATAAGTCAAAACATACATTTCTTTCCTTTCTCCTTTCTCCTTCCTCTCTTTCTTTTTTTCCTTTCCTTTCTTTCCTTTTCAGGTGAATCACCTCCTAACTATTTATAGGGAGCTACGAGCATTGACAGGCCAACGCATGGCCAGTGAATCCTCTCATAGATTTGATTCATAAATTATATAGATTTATACTTATCTTTAATAAATATTTAATATTTGACCCAATTTTCTAATATAACTATATAAATAAATTAATTCCTAATTAAATTACACTATATCGTATACCAAAAAAAAATTAATAATTTATTTTACTACCACACCCATTATTATTATTATTATTATTATTATTATTATTATTATTATTATTATTATTTATTTACTCTTACTTTTATATTTATTTATTTATTATCTTTAACTTTAATTTAGCCCAACTAGTATTATAATTTCATATTTCTGTTAATTTGACCCCAAATAATAATCCCTAATTAATCTCATATTTGATAATCCAATACCAAATTAGATTCTGTATTTATTATTATTTATTTGATAATATATTATTACATACAATCATAATACTAGTATAAAATTTAAGGGACAACTTAAACTTTCAAGTTGTTAAAATCTTTCTTCTTTTTAAAAATTTCGTTCTCGAAATTTGTCATATGTGTAAACTAACCGCTGCACACTCTAATAAATATATATTAGATGATTAATCTGATAGAAAATATTACCTCAAAATTTTTTTTACCAAAAACAACTCATTGTCCAGTTGTCAAAAATTGTTTTGGACCAAAATGAAAAACAATCAGTGAATTTAAAACTTTTCATTAGTTTTCTTTCTGAAAAGGAAAAAAAAATGAGAACATATTTAAACAAGCGACTGGAAATAAAATGACAGAATCAAATGCAAGAGTTGAAGGAGGGAAATAAAACTAATGAAAAGTTTTTAAAGTCACCGATTATTTTTCATTTTGACCCAAAATAATTTTTGACAAATAGACGGTGAATTGTTTTTGGTAAAAAAAATTTTTTTTTTTGAGGTAACATTTTCTATCAAATTAATCACCAAATATATATTTATCAGAGTACGCAGCGGATAGTTTACACATATGACAAATTTCGATGACAAATTTTTTAAAAGGAATGAAGATTGTAACAATCCGAAAATTTAAGTTGTCCCTTAAATTTTATACTAGTATTATGGTTATATGTGATAATATATTATTAAATAAATAATAATAAATACAGAATCTAATTTGGCATTGGAAGTCCGGAACCTATGTAGCTTCAGATAGGTCCTGGTTTTACTGTTCCCATATGATCCAGGTTGAACCCTGTAGTTTTTGAAAGAACAAAATCTTGTTTTGCACAAATGTGGAGAACGACATGGCACTCTGAGCACAAAACGATTTTTTGAAATTGAGAGTGAGAATAA